CCGGGCGCTTCGCCGCTCCCTCCGGACTCTCTGGGATGTTTTTCTCCTCGCAGGTCTTTGGCCATGAACCCCATCCAGAGACCTGAGATGTATATCATCGGCGCTCAGCCGGTGTGCAGCCAGCTGCCGGGGCTCTCTGCCAGCTCTACCAGGAGCACATGGTGTTCATCGGGGAAGGGGCTCGCAGTGCCATCAAGGAGTGCCAGTACCAGTTTCGGCAGAGGCGGTGGAACTGCAGCACGGTGGACAACACCTCCGTCTTTGGGAGGGTGATGAAAATAGGTAGGAGCACCCGGTACGGGGAGGTGCTGGGCACAGGCTCTGCATCTCTCTCCTTTCCTTCAGATACACATGCAGGCGTGATGAGCCCCATTAGCACGGCTCTTAAAGCTGCTTTTAACGAGTTTTTTCATTCCCTGGTGTGCTGGCGCTGCCTGCGTACTGCCCGTGCTCGGGCGGGGTCAGCAGAGCACCTGAGCCGCAGCAGGAGCAGCTGGAGCGGCAGGGAGGGCAGGGGGGCACACACTTTCCTTCTGGGGAGGCATGGGAGGGTCAGGAAGAGGGGACTGCTTCTGGTTTATGTGCTAGTTTAAAGGGAGGGAGGGAGGGAAGAAGCTGGAGCCGGCAACAATGGACCTGTATTATCATTCCCAGTATCTCGAGTGCCCTCAGACAGGGAACGCAGCCCTGAGATGTAGGAAATATGGACTCCCCTGGCACTGGAATTTCCCCTGTTCTCCGTACTGCCACTTTCTGTGTAAACCTAAGAGAGTTTTGTAATTCCTGCCCTGCTGGCCGTAAGAGGCACATTGACAAGCCATTGCTGCACTTGAATTGAGGTGTGACCTAGCTGCATTGTCTCAGCTCCTTTTGAAATGCAATCATCTGATGGCAAGAAACTGAGAAATCCGGGCTTGGTTTGATGTGTCCGACAGCCACGACAACAAAGAAAAGGTGTTAAAACAGCTCACACACACACACACACACATGCACTCCCTCACTCTCCACTACCCCTGTCTGAAGAGGTTGTTTCCCACCAATAAAGCCAATCATTTACACTGAAGAACCAGCACTATTTCTCAGTTGTGAGGTCAAGGAAAACGCTTTACTGAGGGATGGAAAAAGACCTTCAGCTCATTCAGCATTGCTTCCACTTTTTTGGCTTCACTCTCAAAGAAACTGCATAGGCAGCAGGACGCCAAGAGATGCATCTGTAATACCTCAGGGGCGTCAAGATGATAGGGTACCAAGTCCTGTGATCCCTTCCATTTGATACTGAAATCCTTCTGTGTCATCCCAGAGAATTTTAGAGATATTTCTGCCTGTGTTACTCAAACTTTCAGAATTCCTAATTCAGCCCACCAGAGCCATTCTAATTCCTCCTTTTCTGCCTAGCCCAACAATTCTTCTTCGGGGTATTCCCCTAGGAAATGCCATTTCCTGACACATACTTCCAGTTCCTGACACCACATCCAAGGCATCTGTGCATCGTTGATCTCTCACTTTCTGATAGCAAGGGTGATGGCCAGATGAGGCTGCATGCAATCCCAGATTGTTAAAACTTGTGCTTTGAGGTATGAAAACTGAAATTTCACCAGCAAAGGGAAAGGACAGAAAATACACCTCCACCTCTCCTTTCTGATGTTCCTCCATCACATGTAACTTATCCTAAAGAATGGGGTAGATTTCAGATCCCCAAAGAGATACTAGTGACTCCACAAGGATGCAAGAAAATAGGAATCTCCCCTTTAGAGTAAACCTCATCCTCTTCTTCAGTACCTCCCTGCAATCCTGGGTTGGTCCAGTGGGAGAGTCCACACCTGGAAAAAAGAAGTAAGGAGAAAGCTTTTTTTTCTTTGTAATGAGAAAGCAAAGATCAGAGCTGAAGGATGAGAAGCTGACAGGAAGGATCAGCATGTGTACAGGAAGAAAGGACTGGAGTGGATAGTGGTAGTGGGATGATTTATCTTCTCTAAAATGAATTTGATCCTGTTAGTTTAGATTGGGAGTAGATTTGGGTTTCAGTGTGGGTATGTCATGGGTATGACCAATAGTCCTGCTGCTGTTTGGTTTGTGTGTGCATTTGTTAGTTGAGTCTTGTTGTATCTCTAGTAGGAATCTGCTGATGGCAGTGTCTGTGAGGTGCCTGCCTACAGTTGCCTGCTGTTCAAAAACCTATCGTAACAGAGTTTGGAGCCCATGTCCTTCAGATTTTCTGGTCAGTTAGAGCAGGTTCAGATATTTATACTCCAGTACAAGACAGCACAGAAGTAAGAAAACTGTCACCAAAGGTTGCCTAGTATATTAGGGGCTCTATGATCATTCATTGCTGTTGTCTATGTCAGTGATGAGCTGCTGTGGAGGGGCATGCTGCCTCTTCTCTTTTGTCTTAGTTCCACCTTCTGCTTTTACATTTTTCTACTTCATAATGAGTCATTGCTTATCATTTAAGCAAATCTATTTTCCACACTGGGGAAGAAGACAAAGCCTTTCAGTCTCTCAGGTTGTGTCCAGCTATAAAGTCATTCTTCCCTGGGTTCATACTGTGTATGACTCTCTCCTGTTTTCAATCCCTGAGCCCCAAATCTGGACCACAGCCCTTTTTCTGTACTCTCTGCCAATGGCAGGAGAAAGGTCTGGAGACCAAATATCTGCAAGAGTGCACAGGCATGCCAGATTATTGTGGAGGGAGGTGAGGGGGAAAAGGAGATAAGAAGGACCAAGAAGGTGTATGGTGTGCCAACAACCCACTGATGCAGGCATGGCATACATTACATGATTTCTTGAGCTGCTCTAGATGGTGAGAGAGGAGGAGAACCTGACCTGGCCAAGTCCAAAGCCTGGGAGATCCTTACGAGAGCATTCACCCAGCCACCTAGATTAGTTTCCTCTCCCCCTCACAGAACTTGGCTCAGCTCAGAAATGGGAGATCCACTCGGTCTGTGTTTAATCATTACACCTTCATTTTGTGTGTTTCATAGAGGTGAGGTAGTCCAGTGATACAAAGGTTTTGTAGAGGCATCTGTAGTACTGAAGCAGGCTGCTTTTTAGCATTGGTTTCTCCTAGTGTTTGTGTTTTCATGAGACGTGGGTTATTCAATAATGGTATCTGACAAATGTGCAAAAATTTTCCTTCTGAAGTTGCTTCTTGTTCTGACAATACAGATTTTAGACTGTACATGTGTGTGTATATATCTCTCTATACATTATATACAAACACATTCCTTACTGCTACATTTATGAGGGAGAGGACAGAACACCCTGAAGGGTCATGTTAGAATTTCCTCAGGGGAGGAGAGAACAGATCTCCTTCAGTGGAATCCTAAATGCAAGGCTGGGGTTTCCAGGTTAGTCCAGTCATTTCTGGAGCCAAAGATCTTATCTCTTCTGCCTTTTCAAATGCTGAAAAGAAAAAAAAAAACCCGAGTCATAAAAGCAGAGAACAAAGAGAAATATTTTTCTTTTTTTTTCTTTGAGCTTGGCAAAGGGTAATAGGGTAACGCTTTAAAAAAATGACTTAAAAGTAAAACTTTTTCATCAAACAAGGTAGAGACAGGGTAACGCTTTAAAAAAATGACTTAAAGGTAAAACTTTCATCAAACAAGGTAGAGACGTTTTTCTCATCTCTGCGTCGGGCTCGCCGGTGGGGTCTGCTGTTCTCCCTTGCCGAGCAGGGACTGCCCGTGCCCCCTGCCCCGGGCGGCAGCACAGGAGGGCAGCATTGCTCCGTGAGCTCCCGGGCTGGCTGCACACACCGCTTAGCACGGCTCGGGCAGCTGTGGGAGATGCCCGAACAAATAATAACACCCCTGTCCTTTGAGGTGACAGCACAGAGGTGTGGAACTGGAGGAGTGAACATTGAGAGGACACACAAAACCCCAAATACTTTTCCAACTCTGGAAGACATGGTAGGAGAGCAGAGAAGTCCTCAATTGCCAGCTACAAATTTGCTTTGTATTCACACAAGCTTTCTGATGTCTGATCCCACCTCCCAGACCAGCCACGGTCTTCCAAACCTACATCTGTTGAGCACTGGTTTGTCCTGCATTGTGGACAGCAAGGTTAAAAACCCCAAACAGCTCTGCTGTGACTCGTTTCAGCCTCTCCAACCATGATCCTCAGCAGCCTGAACAGCTCGTGCAGGTCCAGGGGCTGCGCACTGAGTTGTGCTACTACATCTGACAGGTGGAGATGGTTAAAACATGGACAGTAAAAGTATAAATCCAGTCTGTACTTCTGGGGATCTCAGTAAAACTGTAAGGATGCTAAGTACCTGGAGTCATGCAGGCTCTGTTGCACAAGCTGCTACCAGTGTGAGGTTCTTTCCTTGCACGTATTATAGACAGGGGAGTTCTCTACTTAACAGGATGACTGGTGTATCCCCAGGGTTCTCTCCGTACAGGCACAGACTGATAGGAGCAAAACTGCACACTGGACTGTTATCCTAAAATACCCATAACATGCAAAGCAAACTAGATGAGTAAAAGCTTGATTCTGGTTACTGATAAATGACCATAACTGCCTTATGGGTCAGTCTCAGCTGAATTACCTTAATTAGAAGTCACTGTTTTATACCTCTCAGACCAGGGAGATTTGGTGGGCGTAGTTGTCTTCTTATGACCTGCTGGTAAAGCCCTCCCTTGTATATTATATGTCCTGTAGCATTTTATCAGCTGTGTTCTAGAGCAGAAACCCTTAGTGTTCAGCTCTCATTTGGTTGGAAGGGAGTGAGGAAATCACAAGTTTTTCTGCAAGGTAGATGCCATTCACAGTCTTGCCTTTGTCTTGAGTCATTACCACTAAGGTGGTGATAAGCTGCTATTAATTACAGATTGTCAGCACGTGCAAATTGGAACAAGAGCATACCAAAAGCGTCAGCTCAGCTTTGGTGAGGGAGCTGGCACTGAGAGCCTCGTGGGCTGGTGACAAACTATTCTTAGAGGATCTGCCCTCTGGAGTCCTTCAGGTTTGGCTGGGAGCATCTTGCTGGGGTTTGGTATAAGTTGCTCTTCACAATTAGATTGCTTATTCCAATGAAGCTTTGGCAGTTGCTCTCGTCACCTGTAAGTTTGGTGATGAACGCAATGACTCTGAAGGTGTCAGTTTAGCAATTTATTAGACTGTGTGGTGAGACTGCAGGTGTGAATTGCCTCCTTCTCTTGATTCCACTCTGCTCCCCCTCTTCAGACCCACAGCACTCACTGGTGCTTGGCCTCATGCAGTGTTCTGGCTGTGTTGGTGCCCCGGTCACATTGGGGCTGAATCACTGCCAGGCATACATAGCTGGAGACCCGTTCCAGCTGCTTGGCTCAGATGCTAAGCTGTGTAGGGCACACACGCCAAGCAGGGCAGTCTCTAGTAAACCTGCTAATGGAAAGTATTTTCATTTATTATTGCCTACATGGGAAAGTTTTACTTGTTCCAGCACTGTGGTTCTGTAGGCATTGGGAGAGCTTCTGCCTTGATGCTCTGGTGCAAAAGTCAGTCTCCTTCGGTTGGACTCCCAACAATTTTCAGCTGACCTTATGTAAAACAAAACAAGGGCAATGAACTGAGGAGCCCATAAAGGCTGTTTGTCCCAATTCAATGAAAATCATTCCAGAGCAGTATTTGCCTTATCCAGAATGCTCCTTTTGCACAGACCCAGCCTCGTTACTAGCTGTCAGTGATTACAAATGCAGTGGTTAAGGCAGCAGCTGTATTCTCAGCAAGTGAATGACCCTCTTGCTTGCTGGTTGAGAGTGTTCTCCAGGTTAGAATGAGAGGATAAGTGAAGGGGCAAGAGACTGAGCAGTCCCTGCATATGGTGTTGCTATTTTTTGGGGGGGATGAATGTATGGAGTTCTCAGGGCTCTTAAATGGGTAAACGTAGGTGTAATAAAAATAATAACCCTGGAGGAACAGCACCTGCAAATCATGAAGAACATGGTCTTC